GCTTATCTCAAATCCCTACCCTACCAAAGTATTATCCTCCCGATCTGAAAGCGTTTAATTGCTCTAAGCCTTACTATAGAAGTCGGGATAACAACACCCCCACTTCACAGGGTCATTGTGAGGGTTAAAAGGGAGGGCACATCTAAAGTGCCGCCACGCGCAGCACACTAAGCTGTGTAACAAATACAGCTATTTTTGTCTTTATCACCATGACTATCATTATCATCTTGCTGTGGGATAGTTTAACAAACATTCTGCCTTATTATAGTAACTGAAGTCTTGTTGCTCTGGGACTCTAGAGTCCTAAGATGAAAAGCAATAAAATCAACCTAAGTGTCCACCAATGGATGAACTTGGATAAAGAATATGTGGCACATATGCACAGTGAAATACTATTCAGGCATTGAAAAGGATACAACCTTGCAGAAACATGGATGAAAATGGAGTACATCCGGTAAAATATAATAACCAAACACAAAAAGACAAATGTATGGGGTCACTCATATGTAGATTCTAAAAAAGTTAATTTCACAGAAGCTAAGAATAGAATACTTGCCATATGCTGGAGCTAGTAGGGGAGGGAAGTTGAGGAAAGGCTGGTCAACAGGTATTATTAAGTTAGTTAGTGGAAGTAAGTGCTACTATTCTACTACACAGCAAGACAACTACAGATAATGATGCTATAGGAAATATTTCAAAAAAACAAAAAAACTTTAAATGTTTTCATCACAAAATAGTGATAAATGTCCAAGGAGACTGATATGCTTACCCTGATTAGACAATGTATACATGTATAAAGACATCACATGGTACCCCATAAGTACATATAATTTTTATGTCAATTAAAAACACTGGAGCTGGGCATGGTGGCACAGGCCTGTAATCTCAGCACTCAGGAGGCTGAGGCAGGAGGATCGCCTCAAGTTCGAAGATAGCCTGAACTACTTAGCAAGACCCTGTCTCAACCCCTTCTCCCTAAAAAAAAAAAAAGACACTGGAAAAAAGTACCACCTTAAATACAAATTTTTTCTATAAAAATTTTGAGAGATTTTACAGAAAGTTTTTTTACATTATTTGGCCATGAGAAAGTCATTTAATTTATAGCTGGTCATAATTTGACTTCTTGGCAATTATTATATACATTTGGAAATTCTTGTGAATAGGAAAAATATACCAACAAATTTATTTGGAAACATAATAAAATTTTCTTTAGTTTTTAAATAAATTTCTTAAATTAAAAAATTATTCTTTACAGTATTCATTTACATTAAATCAAGACTTTCATTAACTTTTTAAAAAACCTGCTCTCCTAATAAGCTCTGACTGAAATATCTGTGTGGCTGGGCTGGGCTTGCTTTCTGCAGACAGTTTCTCCTGTCATCTACCTCACACTCTTCAGTATTCAGACTCATTTCACAAGCCAGCGGTTCTCAGAGGATGGTCCCCGGGGCCCTTTTAGTTGCCCATCAATCAGAGCTATTTTCATAATACTTAACGATGTTATTTGGTTTTCTTTTATTTTTTAACCAGATTGGACATCTGTACTGATCACAAAAGCAACTGTGGAAAAACTGCTGGTGCCTTAGCAATAATCACAGCAGTGGCACCAAAACATACTAATGTGGTAAATCACTATACTACCACATACTCAGAATGTCCTTGATGAAGCAGTATTAATTAAATTTCAATCATTACACACATGTCTTTTAATACTCTATGATGAAATAGTAATAAGCATGCATAAAAGATTTCTGCTGCATATCAAAGAATGATGGTTGTGTCAGGGAAAGGCTTGTACTGTTAGAACTGCAAGCTGAACCAGCTGCTTTTTCATAGAGTATCTTTAGAATAGAAGGGATGATTAATAAGCAAACTAGGGTTACTGAAACTTGAGTACATGGCAGATATTTTCTTGAAAACGAACAAGATGAGCCTATAATTTAAAGAATAGCAAGTAACTTATTTATTGCTAAAGAAAAAATCAGAATTTTGAAACCTTTGCACTGATATTTCTAAGTGGGAGAGCTTATGACTTGCCCGATAAGATCAATGGTGATATTATTTATTTGAAGCCTTGTAACAGTTTTCACATTGTTCTGCGATTTTAATATGTATTTATCTTCCCATTAGACAGTAAGCTCTATGAAAGAAGAACTGTCAGATATTTGTGTTTTCTTTAAAGCCTGGAACCGAATTACATGCAGGATAAGTTACTAGGTAAATATTTGTTGGCTAATTTGTCATTCTGACTCCTGGTATTTGCTGGTAAAAATATGGACGTGTGTCTTTATGCATGTGTGTACTGAGTTCCTAAGTATTCTGGGCTCCCGGTGATTGCATCTGACAAGGTTTTTTGGCTCAATATTTTTTCCATATAAATTACTCAAAATTTGCCTTTTTTCCTTGGTAATTACAAAACTATACCCTCCTTTTCCATATAATTTACTCAAAAGTTGTCTTTTTTTTTTCCTGGTAAGTACAAAACCAGGTATTTGCTGCAAAATGGTCCAAATAATCAAAACAATTCTTTCTTTTAATAAATATTCAATGACTTTGGCTCTAAAGCATATATTGACAAATTATGGCCTGTAAGCCAAATCCAGCCTATAACTGTTTTTGTAAATAAATTTTTATTGGACTACAGCCATTCCCATTAATTTCATATTGTCCATGTGGCTTCTGTACTGCAGCAGCAGAGTTGCAAGAGGGTATGAGATCACATGGCCCATAAATGTGTAAAAATATTTGCTATCTGGCCCTTAGTAGAAAAACTTTCCAAACCCTGCTTTAGCACATTCATCTTCTGAAAAAGTGTACTTATATTTCTTTTCAAATTACACAAATATACTATGTTTTATACCAAAATATACCTCTCACTTAAAATAAAACAAAGAACTCTGTAGCTAAAACACTTAGAAATCTGATCAGCCTGAAAAACCTGACATAATCCTCCAGGGGGTTTATGCCCTAGCTCTTCTATCTAATAGTTTAAGATTTTATTATGATCTTTACCCAAACCCATCTACCAAAGCCAAACATCTACCATCACCAAAAATATACAATCAATTAGGCTATGTGGGATTAAAACATTTAGGGGCGACCCACTAAAAAGATTACGAGGAGCTTCTGCTGCTAGCCATGAATTAGTAACAGGTATGGAACTGGCCCTCCTGCCATGAAAGACTGGAAAACTGGACAAAACATATGAAATGGCTGCTTTCAGACAGTGGGATAACAGGCCCAGGAGACCACAATCGTAGTTACTGCAAACAGGGAAACAACCAAGATGAAAGCTATAATTGCCCTCTGCTCTGCCTGTACAAGGGAGGACGAGTCCGAGCAGAACACAGTGGTCTAGAAGAATCAAGGAGCTAGAAACTGGAGGGAAGGCAGCAGGGGTCTGCAAGACAGCACACTGAACGGAGCTGGGTGGATAAAGTGCTCCAGGAATCTGCAAGGGATCCCTTTAAATCTGAGCCACAAAGTGAGCAATTCCCAGAATTCACATATGACTGGGAGACATTCAAATTCCATCCAGCCAGAGTAGAGCTACACCAAATGAACAGAGACTCCAGAAAAGGGCCCTGATTTGCCCTAACGTAAGGCTACCTTAGACCCACACTAACAAAGATTAACAACACTGGAAAGAATCAGCCGAATCCACGAATTACTTAGCTTCACAACAAACAAGTACCAACACTCTTCAAGGAAAAAAACAAAATCCAAGTACTGAATGATATGATACGTGCAAAGTCCTTGGAAAGAAGCAGCAGGAGACATAGATGGCAGAATTAGCACACAATGATATTAAAACAACTATTATAAACATGCTCCATACACTCAGTAATGTAAAGGAGAACACAAACTTGACAAAGAAAATAGTAAACAGAAGATTCCATTTAACTGTTATGTCTTCACCAACTGAAAAAATACTACATATTTCTGAATTTAAAATTCACTAGACAGAATTAACAGCAGATCTGAAGAGAAGACAAAGGAACATGAGAAGCAACAGAAACTATTCATATTGAATCCAGAAAATGAAAAGGCTAGAAAAAAATAAGATAAATGGAGCCCCAGTGATTCATGGGACAGTGTCAAGCAGTCTAATGTACAATGTAATTGAAATTCCAAGGGAGACAACGAGAAGAAAAATATTCAAAGAAACAGCAGAAGAAACTTTTCCAAATTTAATATAAATTATAACCCCACAGATCCACGAAACTCAGAGAACTTCAGACAAGATAAACAAAGAAAATCCCATCAAAGCATATCACAAATTCCTCAAAATCAGTATCATTAAAAATAAAACAAAAGGATTATGTTTCTCTCCTAGCTCCATATGAAACATAATACAACTCTAATCCGAAAAAGCAAATAACATCTTTCTAAATCTTCTGATTAAAAAAATGTAGGTAAAGTTTATCAAAGTTGAATTCTCATTTTTGCAGAAGCCTTCCTTTGCTGTTGGATAATCAAGCTTAGTCTAACTCAGTGGTGGCAAACCTATGGCATACGTGCCTCAGTGGGCTCTTTATTATCACTGAAAGCTCTAAAAGCTTCACCATCATTGCTCTAACTGTTGGATAATCAAGCATGAACACAGTATAAGACTACTGGAAAATAACAGCATCCTAAGGCATTTACAGGCCTTAGAGTTCACAAATGTTACATACTTTGGATTGGATGTTCCTTGAAGTCAGAAACCCTCATGTCTTTGCCCATAAATTTCTAGTGCAGTTCCAAGTGGAACATATCTGTATGACATAATTTTTTGAACACAACATAACTGTATGAATGCACAGGAATGAATCAACTTCATTTCTCCCTCAGTACACTGCTATGTGACATGTTAAAGCTAAGATGAGAAAGGAGATATCCAGGAGGATCAAATGATTGACCCAAGAATACCCAAAAGGCATCCTTAGCGTAATGCCACCACATACTGTTACCCCAGGGTAGACACCACAGAAATGAGTTTTAAGAATTACTGTACTTACTCTGAGTCTCCACAAGGTCAAAAGCCACACTAGAAACTGTGTCCATTCCAGAGTCAATACAAGACTGGAAGTTTTTTAAGGAAGAGAGAGCAGACTCTACACCACTGAAGGATATGAAACCAGTTGAACCTGAATTTGAACTGGAACGTCCTGGCATCTTGAAATTATTACCTAAATTTTCAAAGACAATAACAAGAGTTGTATGTCAGAATAATTGCATACGAAAATGGCATAGCTATCGACATTCATATGAATGCATGCAATACTCAGGTGTCATATTACCATCTACATTTGGTAACCCTCAAGAGGGATACCACAGCACTGTACCATAATCTGGGCCACCAAACACAGATACACTGGAGGTATGGCGAAGATAATTGTCCTCATTTTTTAAAGGAAGGAAAATACCCTCCTCCAAAAGATTCCTTGACTCTGAAGAATTCAGTAATACCCCAATTCTTAAAAGTATAAAACATAAATGGGATAGAAGTAGACTAATCATGACACACTTTCCTAAAAAATGAAAATAATAAGCAGTAAGGTGACATTTTGAAAACCTAGAATTTTAACTTATCTAACTTACACACACTTTAAATTCTGAAAATTGTGGAAAAATATATATGTTCCTGGCAGTTCCTCTGGGTTCTAACATTTATAAACTTGGTGAGACCCCAGATTCAGTGAAAGCAGCATTTCTTACAGACTTCTTATCTTTTGGTAGCTCATCCATTGTAACAGTTCAGTTATTACTTTCATATTAAACACTCCCTAATCTATATCTTCAACTACTAACCCTTTAAGATGTGTACCCTTAACATAAAGCTGCCTACAAAAAGACATCTTTGTTGAATTCAGAACCCATCTGAAATTACATCTACTGAAACCAACTAGAAAAGTGGAGAGAATTCACACAGGCTTTTAAAAGGGTGGTGGGGCTGTTCTAAGGCTGTATGGGAGCAGAAAGGCCATGTGCTTGGAATCAGATAGACAAAATGAATTGAAGCTGCAACTTTACTGCTGTGTGACCATAGACAAATTGGTAAGCTTCCCTGCACCATCCTGAAAGGGAATGGGAAAGAATAAACACAGCGTGCTATCATCCAGTACACAGCTGAGCATGGGAACCTGTCCTCCTGGCCTTCCTTCCCTAAGTAGGCAGCTGGGTAGTATCTCCACCACTTCCTTCTCTTCAGGACTACCATCTTTATTTCACACCTGGACCATGACTATAGTTTTTCAATTAGTCCTTCCTTCTGAATTAGGTTCATTTATTCAGTCCACAAACAGGTTGAGAGCTTTACCATGTCAATCCTTACACTCATTCAAAAGCACAAGGTAAAAAGCACAAGAGCACAGAGAGGCATAAGATGCTAATTTTTATTTCTGAGTTGCCAGCGTCTAGTATAAACATTCACAACACAACTCACTGCAATTCAAATAATTCAGTCAACAAATATCTAGTATGTACCTCCTTAAGTGCCAGGCACTTCTCTTAGCATGGGAATGCCAGTTTTTAAGATGACCACTCTTAAGACTTTCATTTTCAAGCTGTTTTTTAATTCTACTTTGATGAAATCTACCAAGCACTATTGTAGGCATTAGAAATATTCAGCCTCTGCTCTGCAAGGATTCAGAGATGAGAAGGGGAGACAAATATATGAATAAATAATTAAAACATGGGAGTTACTGGAAAGCGGAGGCATATATGAAGAAGTACTTATCTCTGCCTTAGGAGACCACTGAACAGTCTTAAAGGATAAGGATGAAGTCTAACGATGGAGGGATGATGGGGAAGGGCATTCAAGCAAAGGAATAAAGGAAAAAAAATAGTTGCAAACAGTATACAGCTCTCTAGACAGCTACTTGCCTTTTCCTGATTACTGGGGGAAAAATATTCTTTTTAGGATTCCTCTCTACAAACATCCAACACCTCTTCCTCCAACTTCATCTGGAGCTAAAGACCTCACTTCATATTTCACAGAGGAAACGGGCAATCTAAGAGATGCCTCGATCCCATCTGCTGCCCTCAGTCCTACATAGTACTCTCCCTTTCCTCTCTTTGAAATTAATAAACCGCACCTGGTAGTTAAAGTTACCCGCTAAATCCCATCCCTCTTCCCCGCTCGAGGACAATCTCCCAGTATTCTTTCTCGCTGCTTTTCTGCATTACCAATGTTTCCCCCTTAGCAAACAAATGTACTGTTACTTCTATCCTAAAGAAAACACTCTCCCACCATCCCCCCTGCTGCCCACCTTTTCTGTGCTCACTTTCACTGTAAAACCCCTCTACACCTTTGTCTCCAAATCCTCTCCTCCTATTCTCTCTGGAACCCATGGCTACTAGGCCTCCATCCCTACCACTTGAAGGGAATGGCTCTTATCAAGGACACTAATGTAGTCCTTCCCTCTTGTGACCTGTATCAGCAGGCTTTGACAGTTTGCCTCTCCCTCTGTCCCTAGTACACTTTTTGAACTTGCCTATCTTCCTGGATGCCTCTCATTCTTGGCCGCTGCTTCTGCTCCACCTCCTCGAGCTTCCTATGTTAGGAGGGTCACAGAATTCAGAACCTGGACCTCTTTTTCTTCTCTACCTGTACCCAAATTAAGTACAGCCCTGCCTCAGGGCTATTTCTGTTATCTCTGCCAGGATACTTGTCCCCAGACATCTACATAGCTAACTTTTCCACTTCCCTGAGATCTCCCTTTAAATGTCACCACACCAGTAAGGCCTTCCCTGAATACCAGTAGTGGTTAGGATGGGGTGTCAACCTGAATGGCTTTGGAATCCACCTAGGGGATTGGTAGAGCACAATTCTGGGAGTCTGGATGGGTCAAGGAGATGCAGCCTCAGGGGTCTGTCTGGTCCCTGGCCCCTTCTCTCTGCCCTATTTCTCTGCTTTGCTTCCCAGCCACCATAAACTAAGCAGCCTTGCTCCACCATCCTTCCATGGTGATGTTGCTGCCTTAGAGCCTGCTGGCCATGTAATGAATCTCCTGAAACCACAAACTAAACTAAACCTCTCCTCATTCCAGCTGTGAGTATCAGGTACTGTGTCCCAGGGATAGGAAAGCGACTAATACATACCCTACCAGTCTCTTAACACCCAGGGATTCTTACCCTCCATCGTTTTATTTTTCTTCACAGGAGGCACTGTACTGCCTGACAACATTCATTTATTTATTATGTTTATTGTCTCCTGTCACCAGTTAAGACTATAAATTGCAAAGGAACAAAGACTTTCTGTTTTGTTCACTACTGTACTCTCAGCACCTAAAACAATGTGCAGTACACAGCAGCCACTCAATAAAGGCTTGCTGAAAGAATGAATGAGTAGAGTACCGCATATATACCTCGAGCATCTAAACAGTGCACTTCTCCCTCCAGACTCTTAAAATCAGTGTGCTCGGGCTCAGTGATCTGATCATCTTTCTTCCCCATCCTCACCCACCTACCCAGGACTCTAGCCAGGCCTCCCAGCTAAGCCCATTCCATTTAAGTATATCAAACACCTCCCTCTCCTCTTCCCTAACTACCTCCCAACCTATTCCTTTTGCAGCCTGCTCCATCTTACCAAATAGAAACTCCAACCTTCCATATCCTGAACCAAAAATCTTGATTTATACTTGACCTTTCTCTCTATCCTAATTCAAACCCATCACAAATTTTGTCAGCTCTGCAGTCAAAGTATCTCTAGAATTCAACCACTGCAACCAATTCTACCCCAACCACCCTGATTTAAGTCAGCAACTCTTACCCCGTGGGCCCTGACCAAGCAGCATCACCATCACCTCTAACCCTGTGAGAAATTCAAACTCTCAGCCCCCAACAATCTGTGTTTTTTGTTTTGTTTTGTTTTGTTTTTGGTACCAGGGATCGAACTCAGGTCCCTGCGCTTGCGCAGCCGGCAGCGAAACCACTGAGCTAAATCTCCAGCCCAACAATCTGTGTTTTAACAAGCCCTCCAAGTAATTCTAATTCTGACATATCTAAACCGTAGTGTACTGTATCAGAGCCATCTGGTAGGCCTGCTAAACACTGATGGTTGGGCCTCACCCCAAAATTTCTGATCCCATTAAGTCTGGGAGGGAACCTAAGAATCTCCATTTCCAACAAATTTCCAAGTAATGAGATGCTGCTGAACCAAAATTCACACTTTTTTTGGTGTTTTTTTTTACTTATTTATAATAAATTTATCACATAAGGCAAATTGCTTCATACTTTACTTCAGTAAAATGGGGGGAAAAGCTTTCTCTGAAATTGGCTCTAAAGTTGTCTTAAGTCCTTAATAGCAAGAAGATAACATCCAACTGTAAGCAGAACGAACACAGTCATAATATATATCAAATCAAAATTATTTCCTTTATATAATCAGCAATGAGTAACACCAGAGGTAGTATGGCAGAAACGAGCACGGATCCTATCAGGTCACAACAAATGAGGAAATTAAATTTATTTTTTTCTATGGTTTGGACCATAAATTGCTTTACACATTTAGGATCTGAATAAAAACCACTCTCAGCAGAAATTGTGGCCCATTGATTCAACTGACATACCAATTTACAGCTTTCGGGACTGGTAAATATCATTTATGTGGTGTGTCAGTTTTAAAGCCAGTTAAAACAGAGTCTTCGGATAAAATGTAATCCTTGAAAAATTTTTATATTGGCACAATTTAAATGTGCTAGACACATAATTTTTCCTAGTCTGTTTTTTCTGTGTAATTTTTTTTATAAACTGGTATTAGAAATACACAATCAAAATATATGGAAGTGAATTACTACATTAAATTCACATGTATTGATCCTTCCTTTTCCCCTGCAGTAATAGAAAAGACTATTTTGCCTTGAACTTCATATTTGACAGTGAAATGCCACTACAGTATTACCAAAAAGTCCATCTAGTCAAATTGTGAAACAAAATGAACCAAGTGAAAACTTTACAGTACCTTTAGAAAAAAATTACAAGAATTTCATTTCCTAGCTATGAATCTTTAACTTTTTAGACACAAAGTTGGATTTATTTTTACAAGATACAAAATGTAAACATGGCAAAATAAATAGTTAAAACAAGTGATGCAGGATCCCACTTCATGCTCATGATCCTATTAAAGAATTATTTTTTAAAATCCAGTCAGTTGCAAATCCAAGTGCAAAAGCATGATGATGAATAG